GTGGTTCATATAGACGAGGATCGTTCCCCGGAAGTTCATGGCGGGCAATGTGAATGCATTGATAACAAGAGATAGAACTACGATTTTTGGTAATTATTAGTGAATAAAGGTTTTGATTTGCAATATTTATACAACAAATCAATATGTGTATGTATTTACATCAATATGTTTTAAAAAATAAAATAGAATTTGCTAATATTAAGTGATAATATTAGGATTAGTGTGAACAACTAGTTTACATGTTAGGCTAACAGTGCCTTAGTTAAAGAGCCTGTTGCTGTTTATTTATAGCTTTGAATTCTTTAAAACCAATATTATCTTCTTAAACTTGTATGGTAGTCAGGAGCATCACTTTCTAATGTTTATTGATATATTTAGAGGGAGGGGATCTAAAGTAATGCTTTAAAATTCAGATTAGATTAATTTCTACCATTTTCTTAAATTCATGGTAGTTTCAGTAATCCCCTGGTAATTGAGGACACAAGTTATCTAAATGACTAATGTCATCTTTATGGCTTTCAGAAAGGACAGGAGACCGACAGGTGACTATCAAAGGACTAGCAGCAGCAGCAGCATGATGATGATGTTAAATGTGTTGTTTTAGGAACATCCATTGCAAATACATGGAATTCAATAAACATTGAATAGCATATCATGCAGTTTGTCTGTGCCTTTTCCTCCGTGTTGTCCTGGTTTGCTGTGCTGCCTCCTAGACGCCACCATGGTTTGCTGTGCTGCCTGGGGATGCTCCAATCGCTCAGAGAAAGGAGTACGAATGTACGGCTTCCCCACTGACACAGAGCGGAGGTAAAAATGGCTGGCTCAAGTCAGCAGGAGCAATTTCACGACCAACAGCAAAAAAATATGTGATTTAATTATATACAAACACTGCATTTGCACTTTTTCACAAAACGAAAACCACACCATTGGGAAAGCTTAATGTTTTGTTTAATACAAAAAAACAGGGAAAGGCTTGAAAAACACTGAGAGTTGAGACTCAGGGTGCAGGGTGAGGGTCTCAGTGCAGGTATTCAGGCTCCATTGAATCCCCCTCTGGTTCTTGTGCTGAAAGAGGGAGTAACAGACAGGAGAAAGGGTTATACACAGGGCTGCACATAACTGGTGCGCATGCGCACCTCCGCCAAAAAAAGAGCACCGGGTCGTTTGAAGAAAGGCGCATTTGCGTACCAAAATTGAGAAAGGGAGAGAGAGAAGAGAGGAGAGAGGAGATAAATATATTTGCGAGTTGCATATGAACTCAGGGTCGGCCCGTAGCACTGGCGTTATAGATGTTCGCCTAGGGCGCCAGATCTGGGGAGGCGCTGCGCTGGCAGCTCTGGGAGGGAAAAAAACATTTTTGACCATTGGGGCTCATTCTAATTTTCGGCCTTGATGTAACAATATTCATAATTAAGTAAATGTAACACCCTTTTCACCCCGGTTACACGTTTCATTTGCCCTGTACAGTGGGCGCTGTAAGTGATGAAAATGGGGGATGTTGGCTCATCTGGCGCCCGCAGCTCACAGCCAAAGTGCGAATGAGCGAGGGAGAGAGAGGGAAGGGCGCACCGCCCGGTGTTGTTATTAGAATCTGGTGCTAGCTGCTCTAACGGATATAAGAAGATGTTTCTACAATAATGTGGAGGGAGAGTCCTCTCCAGTCAGACTGAGAGGCTGATACTACAGCTCAGTGAGGTAAAGGACTCTTGAGTGTTTAGATAGTTCACTTTAGTCTAAGTTCATACAGTTTGGTTTTAATTTATGTAAACACATATTTCCAAGGCACTCCTTTATAATTATTGGGATAAACAGGTTTTAAATCATTCCAATGCATACTATACTGTAGGACAGTAACCAAAAATATCCTTTAAAACTGGAGAGATAAAAAAAATAAATGCAAAAATAAATGTTAAGGTAAAATAAGATATGAATGAACAACACAAATAAAATAAGTTACATTCATTTGTTATTGGCTATGGTAGGTTATTGGTTATGTTCACATACTTATTTGATTACATCCACTTGTCTAAGATGACAACAGAGACTTTCGACCCAAAACCAGCTGTTGACTTGTGGATGCAAGCAGCTAATCGCAGACTCAACCAGAGAGGAGGTAGTAGGCCTACATCATCAGCTACCATGTCTGACAGAGAGGAAGACAGTGAGGAGAACAGTCAGGAGGGTAGTGATGACAGCTTGTAGGATTACTGGTCGTGCTAATGTTGTCTTGTGTTCACCTCTGCATGTGTGTTCTGTGTTCACCTCTGCATGTGTGTTCTGTGTTCACCTCTGCATGTGTGTTCTGTGTTCACCTCTGCATGTGTGTTCTGTGCCGTGTGTCTGGCAAATAAAGTCAAGACCCCCTCAAAAGTTACAGTTTATTTCATTTTAAGGATGAGCACCAAGCAACATCTCCAGGTGCTCCTTTGAGAACCAGGGCAAAAAAGTGATGTGCACCCTTGGTTATACACAAATATATAGCACACCTATTGGATGGGAAATTGCCTTGGGGAGATAAGGTGTTTACTTATATAAAACAGTAGTATTAAACTTACCTTGTGTTTTCACTCTCACTTAAGTCCCTCTCCCTTTGCCATCAATCCAAAATCAGCTGAGCTGCAACATTATACAGACAGGTAATAATCAACATAATCACAAGGACATAATATGGCCCTGCTAAAAACACTCACTCTTACACGCACCAAAGTTATATTTATTTAATATTTAACTCCCTCCACCCCCGCATACAATCCCGTTTAGAAGCCCCTCTTCTCTAATTCAACAACGTTGGACCAAATAGACATTAAGAGAACGGACTTTACTATTAAAAGGCTGTTCAACGTGTGTTGCTAACTTGCTTCGGTATCCTTGCTTAATCTGTTATCTGTAAACGTTCCCTAAATCTACTAATTTAGGGATAATCCACTGACATCCTTTAATACACATGTTAATTTGAATCAGATGTACTGATAATATCCGCAATATAAATCTTTAAACTTCTTCTTACCTTTAAAAGTCCGTCACGAACGGTCTATTATGCTGCAACTCTATAGCTCTGCTAGCCTTGGCGCTAACTTCCGGGGAACGAATGAGAGGCTCCACGATCCGCCATTGCTGTAAAAAAGTGGTCCATTGGAGTGAACGGAGATGACATAACTCTCAGTCTATATGGCGCTGACGATACCCATCCCTAATCCTCGGTGTGGATTCGTGCAGAGGAGGTCTCTCTCCAGCTTTTTATCTACGCTCAACTGTCTTTGTGTGCCCAAATATGGACAATCAGGGTTCTAAGAAAGTCAAAGAATTAGCTGAACACACAGCCTTATCTGACAAAGTAGGAAAAGGGACACATGTTGCCATCATACCGTACAAAACACACTGAAACAAAGGAGAACAAAGTCACTTTTATGCCTGATTTGTTCTTTTCATTTGTATTTATTCATAACTATAAAGTGTGATGATGAGAGCACTTACTGTTTATCTGACCTCAGTTTTTATTTGAAATATTATAGCAGAAATTGCATATATGTACTTTGATTAAAAAGAAACAAATGGAACTGCAATGGAATGCAGAGGTTTTCTAGCTCACCCTTTATTAAGGCATCAATTAACTATTGTGCTTGTTAGCGTCCATATAAGTAGCATGTTGGCTCTCTATTCGTCTTAATAAATTACCTAATGATGCCTTATCCTGCATGATGCGGCAAGGCCCCAAATGAAGAGTCTTTAGTACCACAAGAATGGTCATACTCCCTTAATAACACTTACAAAATGTGATTTATTCTTATATAAAAAAACAGGTGTGAAAGTTACATAAATGTGGTCTGGCTCATATCACTAGTGGTTTACATTTGACATGTGGTTTATCTTTTTATAAAGGTACTGTATATTGGTATGTTTGTGAAACTGCTTCAGCTGTTAACTCAGCCAGGACTTGACTGGTATTACTGATCAAATAAAAGTAAAATATAATGTATATAAAAGTATTTAATAATGGTATTGTTTCTTATTTGTGTTCTAAGACTGGCTAGGACTATCGCAATATTGGGGAAAGCAAATTCTGGACTATAAATCATTATATACTCTGTATAATACACTCATAGTGCCATGTCTGAGTTACTGTGTGGAGATTTGGCGAAACACTTAAAAAACCAACCTACAGCCGTTATGCACATTACAAAAAAGGGCTATAAGAATAATCAATAATGTTGGATATCTTGAACACACTAATTCATTATTCTTGAAGTCACACACACTGAAGATGACTGATCTGGTTAAATTTAAAACAGCACAAATCATGTACAGAGCCAGACATAATCTACTTTTACAAAATTAAAAACATTGTTCATAGACAGAGAGGGTGGGTATAATTTGAGAGGAAATCTACATTTGAAACAACTCAAGGTCAGAACAACTCTGAGCATGACAATCTGTGGGGTGATTTTATGGAATGGTTTGGAGCAGGAGTTAAAACAAAGCACAAATATAATTCACTTTAAAAGGATGTACAGAAACACTTTTTTGGAAAACTATGAGAATGAAGAAAGGTGATTGAAGATGAGAAATGATTGTAAATGTAAATATGTAAGTAAGAATAACTTGCAGAAATTATTTAAAGGATAATCATTGATCAGCAGTAAGTAAGGGGTGGGAATTAATAAGCATTTGCTTCCTCCTGCTCCCTTTCGGACACATGTGATTTATTATTATTATTATTATTATGAATATTTTTGTTGAATATATAAATGTTATGACTATTTTTTGTAGAATATATAAATATTATTATGAATATATGTGTTTGTGTTTTTGTATGTGTGTGTGTGTGTGCAAGTGTGTGTGTGTGTGTGTGTGTGTGTGTGTGTGTGTGTGTGTGTGTGTGTGTGTGTGTGTACTGTCTGGCACTCAGACTGGGAAATAAGTGTTTATCCAAGAGTTTGATCAGCTGTGTGTGTTTGTCCTGTTCATGAAGGCCAAATGGAAAATGACAGACAGACATGTGATTATGGTCTGTGAACAAACATTTTTATTCATCCTTTGTATTTAATCAAGCTCATTAGCAGTCATTTATCTAAGTGAACATTTTTTAATTTGAATTTCTTAGTGAGACAGCACACAAGCTAATGTAATCTGAATTAAAGCACATTCATTCAACACCAGATGCATCTTGGTTTTGCTTGTAGATAAGAAGCTGTATGAATTTGTATTATTTCCTCTTGAATTCCTGTTGGAGAAGAGGAGATTTTAAAGAAAATATGCACATTCATGGATCCAAATAAAAGTACATTCATGTGTTCAGTCTGTATTTGTCACTATCCAAAAAGCAAAACCAGAAAAACTAAAATATATGAATACAAATCCATCATCCATCTTAAAAACAAAATACAGAATCTACCCGCACAAGCTAGCCCCCAGTGAATTTATTAAAAAATAAAAAAAAAACTTCAACGTTGAAGTAATGGAGACATTAATAAATAAAACAATAAAGTCAATCATGTCACATATAGTTCTAAAATGGGCCATAGGGCCATATCTTGATGCAAATGCTTCTGTACTTTCTGAGTTACATTTTAATGCGTGGTCTTTACTTGTGTTTGCACATTGTATTACTTTTTTCACCACAGTTAAAGATCTGACTACTTTGTTCACCCCTGGTTCATAGCAAGTATGAAAAAACATGCAAACTTAGGACTTACCTTCATTTCTCCAAGAAATGTTTTCTTTGCACCGGTTTCAGGTGAGGTCTGGATGCAGTGGAATCTGACAAAAAGACAGTAAACCTGTAAAAACTGTTTGATACTTTTTATGGTACTGCTCCATTTTAAATAAACGTACAGTATATGTGACCTGCTCTATCGAAATTGCATCGCATTGACCCGAAGACACATTTTGAGTTGTATACACTGCTGGAAAGAGGATATTCCTAGCTTTCTAATGATATCAGGATTGTTTTTGTACTCCAAATATTAAGCAAAATATGTCACATTATATAATGACTGTCACAGAGTCATCATTTTGAGAAAAAGGCCTTTAAAGTTTCCTCTTCTCTGGAATCCATCGATCTGATTGATTATTAGCAGCTAATAAATTATCAAAATACTATGGAGGGAAGATATTTTCGTTTGGATTACTGGTCTGGGGGAAGCTCGCGAGTGTGTGTGTATGTGTGTGAAAACACTCACGAGAAACACCGGCTGTTGTTATACCTGCTGTGACGTTAAGTTACTCCGTTCTCCGCTTGTAATTATGCCGTTACAAGCTTCAAAGTTGTATTTATCATCTGAATTTGCCGAAACAAGTTTAATATTCTGAAAGCCAAGACTTTGTTTAATTGAAATCAGATGAAGACAAACTGTAACGGACCCTGCTGTGTTATCTATGATTACTATACGCCTTACATTCATAATGTCAGCCGGAGGGAGAGTGAGGGGGAGCGGCGCTGCAGAATAGCAGGGTGCGAGTGAGAGCTCTCATCTTCCCTTTACAAGCTTCAAAAATGTATTTATCGGGTGATTTTGGAAATAAAAGTTTCATATTCCGAAAGCCAAGACTTAAAATCAAACAAAACACCCAAACCCCGAAAAACTAGTTTTTTACGCAAATCCACGTTTATTTTGAAATGAGCCGTTGCAACTTCCAACTGATTTCGATAGAGCGGGTCACATGTAGGGTTTCTGGATTTGTGTTGAGCCTGACCTCTGTGAATGCTATCAGTATGAGAGACTACATATATGGGTGGGGTCAGTGTAGCTCAGAAATACACTGCAGTTATAGGAACATGTAGAAAGTAATTTAGTCAGTAGGCTACTTTGATGAAAATGTACGTACTGCATCCGTAGAGGCGGTTGACCCGGAGGATGTCAGTCGGACTCATCTGGGTGGCTCTCCCAATGGCTACGTTGCTGTCGGGGATAGGGATGATGGTCGGCTGTCGGTTCCTGGAGAAGGCAAACCTGCAAACACAGCAGTGATAACAACTGGACACCTGTGCTGCTGAATGACCACAGAAAGCAGATTTGGATGAAGTAGCGTTTAGCTAGCTCACATTCCGTGGCATCAAATATTGTGCATATGCTAAAATCTCTCATTAAAGTTCACTTTTTGAACGTACTGCACATTTTGGAAACATGTCGTAAAGTTGTATTAGGAATCGTTTGGCCACTTGGGACATAATATCACTTTATGAAGTTGCATTAGATAAAAAAACTGTGAGAAAACAAATCCAGAGGACACAGAGAAACATTATCATCACATGTTGTTGTATTATTATTATGTTACCTGTCATAGTGCATGACAGAGTTGTAGTCATAGGGAGTGCCAAGGTTCCTTGTTCTGATCCTCCTGAAATTGGACTCCGTTCCTGCAGGAGATCACACGGCTCAATCAAACATTGTCTCCGTTTGTATGCTATTGAAGAGTAACACCTCTAAGAAAATACAAGTCATCCATGAGTAGATACATGCTTTCTTCTGCGAGGTGATAAGAATAGAAAGAAAGTACAGATGTAGCACCTCATTTCGGACAGTTTGAAACATGAGGGCCGTGGCCGGCACGGGGTCTGCCCTCGCTCAAAGGAAAACCTCCAGCGTGACTTGAGACGGCTCCAAATGACATTTTTGGAAGTTTGAGCACCACAAACCAAGTGCCATTTGGTTCTATTGTATTGGAGGAATGGGGCTCTACTACCCCTTCGAAGGCCATAAAGGTCAATTATATTAAGTGAACAACCCTATTTTGATCGATTGCATCATCTGTATTCTACATGATGAAAGAGTGAGACCCACCGGGCATGACGTTCTGCAGCAGGATGCGGACATGCTGGTCTCTGTCGGACCGGGTCTGCTCATGGTCGAAGCCTAGGGCGTGGAGCAGCTCATGTTGGATGATCTGCTTGAAAACACACCCCTGACGACTCAAAGACAATACCTGGCTTCTACCACGACGGCCGACGAAGGAGAAACACCTGGAAGAAAGCATGACATAAAACTATCAGTTCAACAGCCAAATTGCTTCCTCTCCTGGGACACACAGTGTTATGGAGGTGTAAATAGATTATGTTAGTTATGCATGTGTGTTGTGTGCATTGTCATTACCCTGATCGGGACTGGATGTCGACAAAGTCACTCTGTCTGTTGAGGGGGGTGAAGCGGATGCAGGTGGACGCAGCAAAAGACCTCAGGCCTCGGACGATGGTTTGTCTCTCTCTCTGGGCTTTACAGTAAAAATCAAATAATATCAGTTTAGTGGGTTTTATTTCTTAAAGGTCACCTATTATGCAAAATCCACTTTTTCATGTCTCTTCTACATCAACATGTGTCCCCTCTGTGGAAAGAGATTCTGAAAGTTTCAGATAAAAAAGATTTGCTCTCTTTTTGTCCTGATCCATTTCTATAAAAACCTGTCTGAAAATGAGCTGATCAGATTTTGGCCCCTTTATGATGTCATAACAATGTGTTGGCTTGTGTAACCATTAGCCAATAACCAACCAAGGTAACCCCCCCCTTATCACCTGTATCTCCTCCTAGAGCATCATTGTGTTTTTAGTAATCAAATATCTCTCAGAGGGGCGTGGGGAGGGGCTCCTTATTTTCATCTAAAGTAACAGACCCAGAATCAGCACTTTTTAAACAGGGCTGAAACAGAGGGGTTTATGGGATGCTGCAATGATCTGTTTGGTATTTTGAGCCAAACACTATGCACATAACGACACTGATCATACAAAATGGCTTTTACCATTAGGAAAATGGAAACAACTTTAAAGTTCAGTGCAAGTTATGCCATCAAGCAGCAGATACATTTGTACAGTAGAAAAGCCAAAATCGTCCAAAAATTCCACATCTAATTTAATAAATGTTTCTTTAAAGTCAGTGGAGGACACCTTTAATTATACTACCACTAGATAAATTATTACCTTTACTTCTACTGCTTCTATTATCTGCTACTTGTAATGGTGGATGCGCCGATTCAATATTACGTATTGGTCAATCACTGGATCTTTAGTTGAGAAAAGTTCATTTCAATACAAATTAACATGTTAAAATGATGCCTAACAAGAGATACATATTGGTATTGGTATCAGTACTGCCTAATATTCAAGAAAAAGGGACATTGAGCCATCAAAAATGCATACTGTGTGCATGAAATGTGAACACTAATCACATTTCTAGGTCACTAATCACATTAGCGGTCTCCCCGCTCAGAGACCCAGGTCGTTGCACGCATCTCTGCTTGTCTAGCCGACATCTCTCAGTGGATGTCTGCTCACCACCTCAAGCTCAACCTTGACAAGACTGAGCTGCTCTTCCTCCCGGGAAAAGATTGTCCCACTCTTGACCTAACAATCAACATCGGCACCTCAGTTGTTTCCCCGACTCAGACTGCAAGGAATCTGGGTGTGACCCTAGATAACAACCTGTCCTTCACTGCAAACATCGCTGCTACAACCCGTTGCTGCAGATACACGCTTTACAACATCAGGAAGATACGTCCCCAGCTGACTCAGAAAGCGACTCAGGTTCTGGTCCAGGCTCTCGTCATCTCACGCCTAGACTACTGCAACTCCCTCCTGGCTGGTCTACCTGCATGTGCCATCCGACCTCTGCAGCTCATCCAGAATGCAGCGGCTCGTCTGGTCTTCAACCTTCCTAAATTCTCCCACACCACTCCGCTCCTCCGCTCCCTTCACTGGCTTCCGGTAACTTCTAGAATCCACTTCAAGACACTGGTACTTGCTTACCATGCTGCGAATGGATCTGGCCCTTCCTACATCCAGGACATGGTTAAACCGTACACCCCAGCGCGTGCACTACGCTCTGCATCAGCCAAACGACTCGTTGCGCCCTCGCTGCGAGGGGGACCCAAGTTCCCATCGGCGAAAACACGTGGGTTTGCTGTCCTGGCTCCAAGATGGTGGAATGAGCTCCCCATTGACATCAGGACGGCAGATAGCTTGCACATCTTCCGGCGCAAACTGAAAACTCATCTCTTTCGACTCCACTTCGAGCGTTAGAACTATTAACGAAGCACTTTTATACTAATAAAGGACTGGCTTACCTAAAGCCAGTTGAGTAGCACTTGAAATGTTTGGCTCTATGAAACCTGATGTACTTATATGATTCTGTTTTCTTCAAGGTTGTGTCTTCCTGGTCGAATGTACTTATTGTAAGTTGCTTTGGATAAAAGCGTCAGCTAAATGCAATGTAATGTAATGTAATGTAATCATATACGACCCTGCCTTCAGTACTCACAGTACTGGTTGGAGATGCGGTAGGGTACGTAGACGTTTCCGTCGGTGGCTTTGGGCCACAGGCAGCCTCGTGCTGTGCAGGGATCAGCGTTCTGCAGACCTGTGGGCACGGCGATGTCTCCAAACATCACCATCGGCTCGTCAAAGTTCTTTCCTGCAAGATGACGCAAGCATGATCAAGAACATGCCTTCATCTTTCTTTCAAATCCGAATCAGATATACTTTTAATCAGCCCGGGGGAAGCAGGGTTGCATAACAGAGGCTTCATTTTGAAATAAAAGTTAAATACAAAATAAATCAAATTAAAGTTAAAGAAACATTTTCAAAGTGTATAACACTATAAAACCACAATTAATAAGTACAAATGTGTGTAAACAAAATAAATGTTAGTATATATATTAGTGCTGAAACCAGATTATTGCTCTAATGAACAGTGTCAAACAGAGACAGTGTGGTGTCACTGTCTCTTGATTTGATTTGTTTCAAATGAATGTAAGATTATCTTTAATGAACGTTCGCAGCCAAGGGGAATACATAATGAATGATTGCAGTGCATATACATACCAACATCCACATTGGCCCTCTCCAACAGCTCAGAGACACTGAGGGTCTCATCCTCAATGGTGTTGCCTTTGGAATAGAAACAATCAGTTAAAAAGTCTGAGTAAATAGTTAGAGCATTTTAAAGTTTGAAAAGTAGCCCTGTCTTACCAGAGGACTCCTCAGTCTTTTCAAAAGGAGCCTGTAATAATAAACAGTAAAAGCTGGTTTAGAGGAGACACTAAATAGGGTAATAAAATAATAGCTTATAGATATCACAATCAAACTACCCCAGTTGATGACCTACATTAAGACAACAATTGTTTGCAAGTTTTCTGATCAAGCATGCTTAAATGTGTAAATGAGACATTTTCTAATGCTGATTTTGTGGTGAATTTAGGGTAAATGTTCAGAAGCACAAAAGGTAGTCAAATAAACACCTTAACGTCTATTTTGATATTTTCTTTCCACTATAAAGAAGACATGTTATGGAAGCAAACTCTCAAAATTGACCAGTGCATAAAAATATATTTTGATTAAATATGAGACGACTGATGGAGGTCCTATAAAGACGGTATTAGGATTTCTCAAATATAAATGTACATCTTTTGATACAGAGAAATCTTATTTCATGCATAATGCAATCCACAAACTTAAAAACTAAATGTCATGCTGATGTGTATTGTTGAAGGACATTTCTATATTGGATTGTTACAGTTCAAAATGTATCATAGGTAATTTCAAAGTGTTTCATAAAAATGTGTATGTATTTTGTTATTATTGAAAGTTAATTGTGTGTAAAGTGTGTGCTGATGCTTACCCATAGAGTGTAAGTGTGCACGCAGCAGAGGAGGACGCTGAGCGCAGCTGCCTGCAGGATCATGGCTGGTTACAGGATAGAAGCAGAGAGATACAGTACCTGAAACAGAAGGGTCCAACTTATATATGTGGGGAAAACAACTAACCCCCATCCTTATAAGGTATTCTGTTCAACAAACGTTGACAAATCCAGCTGAACTGGAAGTGGCAGTTATTACTTCAAACCCACTGGGGTTTGTGTAAGATGTTTCCCAGCAGGATACATGTTTAAGCAGTCAATGGTATATGAAACATTAATTGATGAATTAACAGAGCAAATCATGTTCATTTAGCTGATGCTTTTATCCAGAGCGCAATAAACCTTAATGCTACACACTCAGAGCACGAACACGGAAAAAGCCGATATAGTTAAGTAAAAGTAATGTAACCTGATTACTTTACTCGACTTTTGGATTACCTCAATATCAAATGCAAGGCAAATAAATAAAGAGAAAATAATTTACAATAAGATGTTTTTTTTTTCCTGTATTATGTGCAACAACAGAACAATATGACATTAGAAGAGCAGAAACCAGGATATTTAGGATACAAAATAATTTAATTTATAGGAAAACCTGCCTTTCATTCAGCATATTCGGGCAGTAGCCTATACACCAACAATGAAACACATGAGCACATACCACAGTTTAGAAAAGCAGAAATAAAATCTGAGCTGACAGAAAATGCTCCGTTTAAGTTTAACATACACACTATTTTATGAACATATAGATTCACCTGCTGAATTAAAAACTGAACAAATAAAGCAAAGAAAGTGAAAACCATAAAGCAGATTCAGGCAGTATAGATTCACACTTAAAGTATTATCCTACAGAACAGTACAGCATACAGAGAAGAGATAACATCTGATCCTTTACAACAAACACTATATCATCTTTTTAGGTTTTTACTAACACTGTAATCCTGCTAGTTATACACAATGCAGATAAATGCAACAGGTATCTGATTTATTGTTTCTTTATCTGTAGGGATTGTTTTTAATCCTGATTTCATTATCCAGATAAATCTAATCTGTTCTTCCCAAAGACATCTCAGATTTAAAGCTAATGGAAACAGACAGAAGAACAAACAACTCATTATTACAATGCAGTAGATCATCTCACACATAGCAAAACAGAGATCTTGTTTTAATGTCTCTGCCTCTGTGCTTAGATTCTGTGATGGTCAACATGAATCTGCACTTTGCCACCTTGAACTCCTGCACCACGGATGACAGTAAATCGTAGCTGGCAGGCCTCTATGCACAGTCCTGATGTGAATCTTGGAGGTATTCTAAGCCACCTGCAGAGCTGCCTGTTGATTTTCTTTTTTGTTCCTTCCACACATGATGTACATACATGTACAAATACAATAAGCATGTTAATAAATGTTTTAAAACCCTATGGAATATTACAAGCCAAAACTGCGAGTTTAGGGATTATAAAAAAAAGGAAAGAAACACCTTTTTTTTAAAGCTTGAATTCCAGCATTGGGCAGCCTTTATTAAGATTTACGAGTTATAACTAATGGTTTTATTGACAGATACCAAATCATTTACACTTCTGAGACTGTTGAAATATATTTTGCCAGGTTGAGAAAGGACTGGTGTTTACACAACCCCTCTGTGTGGTTAAAAGTAGAGGTGCCGAGTTACCAAAGCCTTTTGTGTGTATGATTTCTCCATATTGTGGCTCAGTCACAAAATGTTACTTACAGGCTTTCAAAAACAGGAACAAGGACTAAAGGAAAAAGGCTTTAATAAAAAAAGAAGTAAAGTAATATATATGTTCATAAAAAACTATTTGACCAGTTCAAATTCACATAATTAATAGAAAATATTATGTGATAACTGTATTTATTAAATGTCTTTTAGGATGGTCAAATGAATTGATCTATTTAATTATAATGTGTTATTTCTCTACCCAATAGTATATGAAGTAATGTTATTATAAATCCCACCTAACCAGCTGCAACATTGATGTGATAAACACAATATGAATTGGGATCTAGATATGTAATATACCGTATATTAATCTGAAATGTGCCATTCTGCATTCTGAGTATTTATACTTTTCGTACTTTAAATATATTTTGACATTTATACTTATGTATTTTGATGTAAGTTAAATTTGGTGAAGGACATCGCCTGATCCCTCTCTGCTGTTATCTAATAAATAATGTAATGACAATCATAATAATGTAAATCAATTATTTGTCTACATTAATGAACACAGCAGTAAGTCATGCATCAATATATATCAACTAATACAATATTGCTAACACATTTGTGCAAAACAGAAAATGAAGTGACATTGGCAAATGATTATTATAAATACATGAAATAACCAGCAAGTGTTATAGTTCTAATTTGTCAACTAGTTCATGTTTTTCAAATGTATGTAATCTAGTCTGCTGCAACAACACATTTCTAAATAACGCTCATGTGGCTTCGTCTTGTGACATGTCTATTGGTATTGATGTAAGAGCTGGTAACGAAAATGGCTCTGTGTTGCAATTTGCTCTGTCCAACAGACACAAATAGATTTCTCACAATTTTAATCTTTAATGTTGTTGTTTTTTTTCTTCTTTTTTCTTGTATTTAGTTTGTTTTTATGTCAAAACTAAACAAACAAAAGAAAACAAATAATAATAAAAAGAAGCAAAATAACAAAAAACTTTCAAGGTATAAAAATAAAAACTCAAAAAGTTTCCTTCATGTTCAAAAGGGGCAAGAAGAAGCTTAAAAATGTTTCTTGTCCTACCAACTCTAGCATACATTGTTTATGAAAATAAAAGTTCAGTTCATCGTCATCAGCATCAGCATCAGCATCCGTGATATTTGATTCGTTGTTTCAAACAAATCACCCCTTGTACAAAACTAAAAAACTAATAAAACAAATAATCTTTACAGGTAAACCAAAACCATCAACAACAAAACATACCAAGCAGGAAATCACCGGTCCTGCTCATATCCATTCAGGATTTTGTTTCAGAATAGTTTTTTAGTCAGGATAAAGTTATACAGTATTTCAGCTCATCATTACAGTTATTCCACAGATAACACCTTTTGTTGTGGTGCAGTGAAGTTTGGAATTTGTTTGTATGCATGTTTTTTTGAATATGCAGTTTCCTCTCAACATGTGTTTGTTTTCTCTCAGTGTGAAAATTATTGTTTAACTATCACAGCAAAGATAATATATCATTCTGAACAGTCATTCATTACTGCAGGGAAATATTGTGTCAAAAACAGAGCACATATTTGTATTTTGTATTTATGCTCTGCAAACAAAAATTCACGCAACCTTTTAATTGAACTATTCATATCTTAGACTGCACTGTAACTTTTATCCATGTATTTTTTCTTTTAATGTTTATTTTATTAGCTTTTCTTTTTAATGACTGATTTTAAATGCCTTTTTCTTAATGTCTTTCATTTTTTGTAAAGCACTTTGAATTGCCTTGTGTTGAAAAGTGCTATATAAATAAACTTGCCTTGCCTTGCCTTATAGGTTCCCCAGATAGGCCAGTTACTGAGGTCCGGCCTGACCAATTTGCTGCCATAGGCAAGATTTTGTCTGGTTTTATTGTAAATGAACAAAAATACAAAATTAAAACCTATAATTTCAAACAAAAAATATTATTTAAAAAAAAGAACTATTTTACATTTCTTGAAGCAAAGTCATCTATCATCATCATAAAATAGCTGTTTTGAGACCACATGGTATCACTTGGCTCTGCTGAGGTGGAGGGGACAGGAGCGTTTGATGCTGCTGCAGTGCTGGGCTCTGCTGAGGTGGTATGTGGCCCAACATATTTCAAAAGTGCATCTGAAGAGAGAAGATAAGTATATGTGACCATCAAGAGATGCATTATATTGCTAGACCTAAGAAATATTATAGAAATCAGATTACAGGAGCAGCTCACAATATCATATATTGCCTCCATATACCATGTAAAATGTATGCAAATCTGTGCAAAAGGGGCCCCGACCAAGTATTGATTACATAAATGAACAAACTTTTCAGAAGGTCGAAATATCTGTATTATAAATCCTGTTTTGATTGGTCTTATCTAATATTATACTATTTTGAGATACAGGATTATTGATTGTCATGATCTGTAAGCTGTAATCATCACAATTAAAACAAAAAAGGCTTGAAATATTTCACTTTATGAATAATGAATCTAGAATATATGGATGATTCATTTTTTAAATTAAAGAAAAACAGTTCTATTATATAGTTATTCTTTTAGATGCACCTGTAGATTCTGTGACTTACCAGATGGCAAAGAAGCAGTTACGTACAGTGTAATATAGCATATTAAAGATAAAGGCTAATGCTGCGTTCACACCGGACATGATGCGAATATTCGCATCGCTCTAAATGCTCTAGTTTCACCGCGGCTTGCAGTTTGTTTTATCGCGTCATTCAAAAACAGACATACCGTTGACGGACAGTTGAGGTTGTTTACACTTCCATGCAGGATCGTTTTGGTTATTTCTGTCCTTGACTATGGAGGATATAACAACTATTTCTGCTTTGTACCTTCTGTGGAAGTCCTACAAACGTACAGTAGCAACAAACGCCGTTGTGTCTGGGTTCACGATGTAATCAAGTGTCGCACACAGTTAGGTAAATATCATTGTTTGATTAACCTGTTCCACCCTGAGCCTGTTTTTCAGGTCTCAGGCTCGAAAATGACATTCCCAGAACAAATGACCATATCTTCTAAAAGGGTTAAATTAATAATCTTTTTTCTCAAAGTAATGATAAACCTGTGAGTTGGATGTAGAAAAGTCAGAATCAATATAGATGTTTTTTATTTTAAAGAAAATTCAGATTGAACATAGTAAAAAAACTGTAAATTATAGTGTCCGTCCAAAAATTATGTTTTACTTATTGTGAAAACTACCCTTGGATGATGGTAAGGCAGACTAAAAGCTTTAGGAATCCAAAGTACAACATATAATAAATACCCTGTATCAAGATTGATGCAAAACAAGTGATATTTTACCTTTTTAGAGAGATTTAGCACCAAAAAACCCACTTCTGGGGTCATTTGGGTGGATTGTCCATATCTCTGG